ACTCAGTTGTGAGAACTTATATGTTATATGACCATTCACAAAATCACACTGGAAATTGTGGTGAACATTTTTATCCAACAGATTTTCCCACCATTCAATCAATAATGAAAATAGTAACGTAATTAATGATTCTCCTCATAAATACGTCTGCTCAATAAAGTCTGAAATGTCCAAAAGTTGCAGGACCTTTAAAAAAAAAACAAAGAAGACAATTTTTTATACAAGTATCAATTATCTTCAAATTCATACAAGGCTACACTATTAATCATTTATCAAAATTTACATTAATGTATTTTCTGTTGACTTATTAACATTTAATTACTTCACTGCTCAAAAATATCAGTGTTTCTCACCTGAGATACAAACAGCAGGTAAGCCTTTGGAGGACAAGATGTCTGCCAGGTGCTGAGCCCTGAGGAGTAAATCCAACATGTGTAACTGCTTCTCCAAGACACAAATGATACGCACACACTCTACAACACGTATTCAGTACAGTCATGTGCTACCTTGTGTGTAGATTGGAGAACACTAGGGCCTGGTTGAATGGGATTTTACTGAACAGCTCCAGTAAGTGCTTCACCTTCTCCTCGAAAACCTTGTGAGGTAACGGATGGGACTGCACCAGTTTGTAATACTGCTTCAGACCTGCCAGGGGGCGCACAAGGACAAGATACATTGAGGAGCATTACTCCAAGTAGAGCATAGACTGATTATACACAGTCTCTGAGGTCTATGAATATCAAGGCTGGTTTCCTGAGTCTCAGAAGGAGCCATTTTCCACTATTATTTTTTTAACACAGTGAAGGAGTCTCTGTTAACCAGGGAGGTATTTCATTGTTGGTAGATAATGACAACTAGACAAAGCTGATAATTCAAATTCAAATAAAGTGAAATATCCCCCCTGTATATTATTTCCTGGTGTTTATAGCAGCACACAGGATAACGAGAGAGGGTTTTACCTTTGAGGCCCATGTCACTGGGATTGAGTCGCACAAATGTGGGCTCTCTCATGTAGCGGGTGAGGTGCTGTGCAAGGGATTCTGGGTAGGTGGCGGAGAGAGCAAGCATCTGTTTGTTCACAGGCAGAGAGGAGAAAATCCAGCTGAGGGGAAAAGTAGGAGAGAGTAGAGAGTTTCAGCATGTGTGGGTTTTTAAACATGCTGTACATTTTACAGCATACATTTTCAATTATACAGTATATATGATTATAGATGGTGAGGTCAATCTTACTTGATCTGCTCCTGGAAGCTGCCCTCCTCCAGGAGCTTGTCTGCCTCATCCAGAACAAACAGCCTGATGCTGGCAGTGGACAACATGCCCAACTCTATGAGCTGCTTGATCCGACCTGTGCACACAACCACAAATACATGCATGACATTCACATAAACAGATTACGCCCATCTGTTGATATTCCACTGGCCTCTCTTACCTGGTGAGCCCACAGCTATATGGCACTTCTTCAGATGGGGTTTGTCCTGACTTACGGGCCGACCTCCGATAAAAACGTGGCACTGCAGACCCTCCATGGCACAGCCTACGGCCATCACTACTGAGTGGATCTGCACCGCTATCTCACGGGTCGGAGCCAAAACAAGAACCTGCAGACGGGAAAAGATTTCATTTATTTTGAGAAAGTTAGTCGTCAACAACCACCTACATATCGAGAAATTAGAAGCAGATTAAAGAGAGACAGGTGCTGGGTGGTTCCTAGTCAGTAATACCAAACAGCTTATAAGATTATGTTCCACTAGAATGCAGCCGGTTGATCAACAAAGCCAGATGCACATCCCCTTTATCAATCACTGTCCAATTTATTCTTTTCACACTGAGCAGCTTAAACTCATCAGATTAAAACCAAAGATCAGACATAAAGTGATTACTGCTCATGACCATCTGTTAAATAAAAATAAAAGATGTAAACTACCAAATAAAACTTTGTTTGCTCATGTTTATCATTGTGAGATACCTGTACACCTATCTGCAAATATTAAAAAGTGAGGTATAAAAGAAAAGAAAAACTAACTCTGGGCCTCAACTCAAACTCCAGGTAAACCTCCATTTCTCCATCTATTCCACATCTCATCTTGACCTCCACAGTGAAGTGAAATAGCTCACCTGAGTTGCAGGATTCTCCAGGACCAGAGAGTCCAAGGCGATGGTGCAGAACACGCACGTCTTTCCCGTACCAGACTTGGCCTGTACAATCAGATCTGCAGCAGCGGGTGGACAGAGTGAGTTAAACAACAATTTGCCATTATAACCACAATCCCAACTTTGACCCCCACTATTGCTTAAAGCTGATTCAGGGCAATAGCGATGCTTCATGTCATAATGTGCTGCATCAAATCAAGTGCAATGTAACAGTGTAAAAGTAAAGGCCTTTTGCCGACATATATACTATAAAGCTTTAAACACCAATAATAATTATTATTAGTTTATTTAGCAACACAAAACAGGTTGATTCGCTTAATATACAGATGATAATAATTTAGACAACCATCAGAAACCGAAATGATTGAAAACGTGCGGATTAATCCATTACTCTGTATTCCTGTTATTGATGGTACCAGTCAGTGGAAAAGGAAAAGAGACCAGAAACCATTGAAAGTAAGTCTGGAAAGAAACAGCTTTTGCTGACATGTAAAAATATATACATTTACATTTTCACACTTTAGCTCAAGGCTCAATGTCAGTGCACTGAGACAAAGTCAAAGGGTTGGTTCACCCAAATCATTAAAACAAACATTGTCACATGGACTTTCAATGGTCTATGGACTTTTTTCATTTTCAACATAATTGTGCTATCAAAGGTTTTACTGTAAATACTTTATATTGAGAAATAGTCCCAATGAAAAGCTTGGTTCTGTGGATTATCCAGATTAACACTGGACACTTCCTAGTAAATTAGCCTAATGTGTGTGTGTGTGTGTGTGTGTGTGTGTATATATATATATAAGTATGTAATTGTGCTGTAATATTGAAGTGTCATCTGCATAACAGAAAATATCCTTTATTAGTCTCACAGTGGGGACATTCACAGTATTACAGCAGCAAAAGTCAAAAACAGGCATCATCAGTAAGTAATAATGCAACACTTAAGGGTGAGGAATATAAAAACAACGAGGATGAACGGATTGCACATGAGCCATTGTTTTGTACAGACAGAATGAATATAGCACATCTGTTGCCAGATGTTGTGTGTTGCTAAATAAACAGCTTGTTACAGATGGAGAGTTTCCAGAACGCACCCAGTCCGCAGCGGCCCAGCGGGATGGCCTTCAGCTGGATGGGGGAGGGTTTCCGGAAGCCTGCCGCCGACAGTCCGTCCAGCACGGCCGGGGACAGCAGCAGGGAGCCGAAGTCGATCCCCTCCGATAGAAGCACATCGTCGGTTCGCTTTCGAGTTTCTATGTCGTGGGCTGCCTTCTTCATGGAGGACGCCATGTTGACTGGACTGTTTTTACCGCCGGCGATCAAACCCACATCCGGTTTAAAGTGCTGCAGCAGAGCCGCGCCTCCACCGCCCTCTAGCGACTGGGAGGGGGAGTGATCCCTGTGTGAATCCAGTTAGGTGGAGAAAAAAAGGTTTAAAAAACAAAGAATTAAAGGTCCAGTGTGTAAGATTTAGGTGAAAGGGATCTATTGGCAGAAACTGAAAATAAAATAATCCTAGTGATGTTTTCACTAGTGTGTTTTATCTAAATTGTACGATTGTCTTTTTCTTAGAATGAGCCATTTATATTCAAATACTTTATATTTACACCTGGAGTGGCTCCTCTTTATTGAGGCATCCATGTTTTGTTTTTTTACAGTATCCCAAACTAAACACATTTTGAGTTTTATGACAACTGAAGGTTCCACATGTTCTCTATCATGTTTGGAAGGGGAGGGTGAGGTGAGGGGTATTCAGCTGCAACATGCTACTTCACCACTAAATTCCACACACTGAACCTTTAAAGAATTTGTAAGCCTAAGCACTGATGGTGAAAAAAGGGTCCCTTGCAAAGACGTGTAAAAGCTTGAGTTTAAATGCTCTATACTTCGCTTCACTCTGACATCGGACCTCTTTAAAAAGTGGGGAATTAGAAACACATTGACAGGCATCCACTTTTATTTGCAGACCAACAGTCTATGCTAGATTCAAAACCAGATACCTGTCACTTACTTTGTTGTGTCCCTGAGTACGCAGAATTAAAGTGAAGCCTGATCATGCAGGGTAATTCAGTGTTTACAATAATGCTTCTGTGCCTAATTAACACACATGCATTTAACCGTCCCTCCTTCATTACTCAGTGGCAGCTGTAAACCCAGCAATCATGGAAAGCACAGACTTAGAGGATATTAGAGAGAATTATCGCCTTCACATTCCGGATCTTCAGATTTGTTTTTTAAGAACTAAATGTCATGATATTAAGCCTCTTACTGGGCTCTCTTATTAAATGAGATCCATCTCCTATACTCTTGCATTTGTGCTGCACCCGGACAACAAACATGGTGCATCTGTACCTCCTGTATGCACCTGCCTCTCATTGCTTTTCTTATGTTTTATATTGTGTGAAGCACTTGCCTTTACCTGAGTACATTTCTGGACTTGGATTGGATTTGTTTTGAGCTGTTACTGGACCCCTGACACTTTATTTATTTTACCAGGAGGCAGTTGTGGCATCGGCCAGCAGCACCACTGTGTCATCCACACATCTACACCAAGCAAAATGGAGACTGTTGCCCTCCAGAGAAACTCCTCATCGTCTCACAGCTCAGACGACGCAGAGCTCCTCTCTCAGACTGGCTTCACAATACTGGCCGTTATCATGGGTGTGTTTTCTGTAGCGGGGATCATCCTCAATGTCCTGGTGGTCGTGGTGACAGTGAGACACAGACAGCTGAGGCAGCCACTCAGCTACGCGCTGGTTAACTTGGCCATATGTGACCTGGGCTGTGCTGTGTTTGGAGGTCTGCCCACCACAATGACCAGCGCCATGGGATACTTCAGTCTGGGACGTGTGGGCTGTGTGCTGGAGGGCTTTGCTGTCGCCTTTTTTGGTGAGTCTGCAACAATTTTATTTGCATGTGAGCTTGTTAGTACTTTACACACAGTTCCGTATAGCTTGCTCTAATGCTTTCAAGAAGAGAGGTTCCCAGGATAAACCTGACGGACCTCAGGAGCAATTAATTGAGCAAGAAATGTGAAAATTAAAGTTATCTTACCGAAATCCATATTTTTCAGTCATATTTGTTTTTAAGAGACTTGAAACTGTTATTTTAAAAAACCATCTGAGAAGTTTCGAGTTGGAATCATTTTTTGGTAGAACTTTTAAAAAAGTGTGAAATCTAATAATTGACACATCTTTTTTGTTAGAGGGACACAAGCCAAAAACGGTCTGACTTTACATTGTATTTTATATCTTTTTTTGTTTTATATAAAATTTAATTCATAAAGAGTTGAAAATACAGCTCCTATAAATTGAGGAGTATAATAACAAATTGCATAAAATGTAAATGCTCAAAATTGTACTTATATTGAATTTGTTGTTGTCATTGATTCAACTAAGTTTTGACCAAATGTATTTGAGTCTTTAATTCCACCATCTTTTCTTCCAGGTATTGCAAGTCTTTGTACAATAGGAGTTATTTCTGTTGAACGCTACATAGTGGTGTGTTATCCCATGGGTGCTGTCCTGTTCCAGACCAGGTATTTAACATCCAGATCTCACTGAGCTGCATCACACTGAGTGAACAAAAACTTTACTGCTCCACCAGCACAAACTGAATCATTCCCTCTGCTCTCCTCAGACATGCAGTTGCAGGAGTGGTGCTGTCCTGGGTCTGGTCATTCGTGTGGAACACTCCACCTCTGTTTGGTTGGGGAAGTTATGAGCTGGAGGGAATAAAGACTTCCTGTGCCCCCAATTGGTACAATCGTGATGTTGGCAACATGTCCTACATCATCATGTACTTTTTCCTTTGTTTTGCCATACCCTTCTCCATCATCACTGTGTCCTACTCGCGTCTCTTGTGGACTCTCCGTCAGGTGAGAGACAGACATATGATGGACACAGCATATTCTTGTTGATGTCATAATAAAATGTTTGTGTATCTTGGTCTCCTAGGTGACCAAGCTGCAGGTATCTGAGGCTGGGAGGACAAATCGTGTGGAGGTGCAGGTGGCACGTATGGTGGTAGTGATGGTTTTGGCCTTCTTAGTCACCTGGCTGCCATATGCTGCCATGGCCTCGGCTGTCATCATAGACCCCAACTTCTATATTGACCCGGTGATTGCAACCATACCTGTTTATTTGGCTAAAAGCAGCACGGTCTACAACCCCATCATATATGTTTTCATGAACAGACAGGTAACCCTTCATTATGAACACGTATACTCACATATAAAAAGAGAACGATAATAAATTCAACATATACAATCATGTATCTTCATTCCCTTGTTTTAACCATGCGTGTTTTAACCATGTGTGTTTTCAGTTTCGAGCATACGCTGTACCTACAATTTTGTGTGGCTGGAACCCATGGGCCTCAGACCCACAGATGTCTGAGGGTGAGACGACTGTCGCCACTCTCAACAAGAGCCAGAAAGTCTCATCTAAACAATCTTTAAAAGAATAAGAGTGTATAAATGCACTGTTGGCTCATCCATGAAGAAATATCAGGTCATCTGAACTCCCAACCAACTCCCTGTTTACTGGACTGTAAGTAAAGATTTATTCTCCAACGTAAGAATAATACTGAGTCTAATGTCGATGCAAGCAATGAAGGATGCTTCAAATTCTGTCCCATGTATTTATATAAGTGAAAATGCAGAAACTGAAAGCTGTGAAAATGAAAGAAACCATTACCATGAGACTCCCTGTGTGCTGAAAGTCAAAACTTTTCTTGTTTCGTGACAATGAAGACTACCCCCTGGGCTTGTTCTGTGATGAATATATTTCTGATGATGAATTATTTATACACTAAAATTTAAAATATGAATGAACATGTTTTTTCTGTTTATGAATACTTTAAAGACTCTAAGCCTAGTGTGAGCCACATCCTCATCCTGTCCTTAAGTCTTTAACTAACATAGTGTAAATTCAAATTAAAACATACAAACATTACTTTGTTCATAGGGCCAACATGTAACCTGTAACTGTATTTTCTGAATTTTTGCTTATATTCAATAAATATATAAAAATTTGGGAAATCATATAATAAACATTTGTTCCATGTTGAGACAAATTCTTTCCAAAAGTTTGAATCAACATACATAGCTGATGTTGTAATCGGTCACACTTACAGTACATTTTTCAAGGATTTATGACAAGAGAAAAAAGTACTAACAGTATTTTTTTTTTTATTCTTTATTCTGTGTACACATCCCCTTTGCTTCATTAGGTCTGTGTTCAAGCATGATACACACCCACCACACACAATCAGACCTTTTTTCACTTTTATATGAGCGTTATGGCTTTCATTGATAAAAATCAAAACTTTCAGTATGTTATACTCCTTTGAAATGTGATACTTCACTCCAGCCTTTTGGATCCAGCATGTTATACAGCAAAAAAGGAAAAAACAAAAAAACAACCTGTCATCAGTTAAGTCAAGTCTCACAGTTTGATCATTCACAGTCACATCCCCCTCTCTAAATAACCACAAATCCAATCATCCTATTACCTTGGCGTTTTATTGATTACAGAAATATTGCTATGACTTTCATTAAAGAATTGCAAAGAAAAAGCCAGAATGTGAATAGCTGTATCAAACCTGTACACGTTTGTATATACAGTGAGGGATCGTCTATGTACATGCTACATACTGTCACACTCTGGGTGAATAAGTAGTCCTTCTTACAGGCACAGACGTGGGATCACTTCGCCTTTTCTGAACCCGCACCAAGAGAAAAAGCTGCACGAGTGACCCGAGGTCGGTGTCTGGGGGGGAGCAGGAGACTCTAATCTACATATTATACGGCCGAGATACAGGATACGTCAACCGATTGGTGTGTGAAACAGTTGTGTGCTTGAAGACTTGTGGTGCTTGGAGGCTGGACTGTGGTCCTGTTGTTTCTGGCAGTCTGCAACAATAAAAGCATGAAACAACAGTGTGTCTGAGTGTGAAGTACTCAAGAGGCTTCAGTGCCCAGTTAAACAGGCGACCTTAGAGTATTTACTGTACTTCATACCCTCTGGTCGAGTCAGATTTGTCAAACAAACTATCTGGTCCCAATGCTGGCAGCACATCACACTGTAGCTGTGATTCATTTAAACTGAAGGTACCGTCTCCACACTCCATTACAGGTTAATGTGGCATTTGGTGTCAGAAAATCCTGTAGTATGATGGAGTACCATCCTGAATTTAAACTGACTGGAGGCATTTCCTTTTCCAGCAGCAGCTGTTTCACATACCAACTGAAAACATCTGTGTGCTAACGTGCAAACAGGACATGGAGAGTCAAGATACAGGTAAGTCTCTGGACAGCAACATTATGGGCAAACTAACACAGAAGACCAACGGGATGATGCTAAGAAATTCTTCTTCTCCTTCACATACACTTCGGAAAAAGGATTGAAAGATTTCAAGCCATGTCCGACATATACTCCGCTCTACTTGAGGGGGGGGGCACATACGAGACCAGCTGCACCTCGCAGCATTCATAAAACGACACTAGCAATAAGTCCTGAGCTCGAGGAATGTGCAACACGTCCCCAGGCAGTTGCTGTTCCAGTGAGAACACAGTAAAGACTGAGAACAGCATCCTGGAAATATCATTGCTTCAGACAAGTAAAAATGATGGTCATATATATACAGATTTTGTTTTTAAAAGGAACAAAAAAAATAAAAACATGAGAAGGTGGGGTTTGTCAAATGGTTGATCTAAAGAGGTAAAAATCAGGTGCAAAGAGAACATCAACATCAACACCTGGTGACACAATACAACGAATCAAGACAACGTCTGAGTCAAGGCAAAAGAGGAAGGGGGTGTCTAAGAATAAGCAGGTGAGGATTTGTACACTTCCTTTACCCCTCCGTCCTTCAGTGTTGTCCTTCTTGCGTACTGAAACAGGAGCATCATTGCGGCATAGTGTTCTATATGAGGGTGTGACAAATGTAGCCATGGTCTACTACTGTGTCAGTGAGTAGCAGTGCTTTTAACTGTAGTGTGGTTGTGTCCAATACATCTGTGATTTGTTGTTTATGAATTTCTTTTTGGTTTCTCATATTGATTCTCCTTCACTCTTATATCTAGCATGAAGTTTACACCCTGCTCTGCTCGAGTGACTGATGAGGTAACGTAATAACAACCACCCTGACCTCCACTGGACAATAAGGTGCTAAAGTTTAACTCTGTAAACTCCAATGATCTACACACACTTGCGATCAAGTGTGTGTTTTTGTTTGTGTATTTGAGAGGTGTGTGTGTGTGTGTGTGTGTGTGTGTGTGTGTGTGTGTGTGTGTGTGTGTGTGTGTGTGTCCAAGAAAATAGGCGAGGATCTGGGACTGCAATATTCTGCAATATTCAGAGTTTGGATTCAGGCTGAGGCGTGTTATGAAAAAGCGTTCTACAGCTCAGTCTCTTTATGTACAACAACAGTCCAAGACAAAAACAGAAGTCACAAATGAGAGAGAACAACAGGGTTCGTTCTTTTCTTTGAATCGTGTCTCCTCTCGTACCTCCCACAGTTCAGTGATGAAGCACGATCTGTTCCAAAAAACCAGAGTCAGCACACATCATCCCAAACGCTGCCCTCCTCTGGTCAGCAATGGTAGCAGCAGCAAGGAGAATCATGTCCTCTCCCACTCTTCGTCCAGCACCATGCATGCTCTCTCATTTTTCATTTTTCCATCTTTGGGGTTGAATTCTAAGTTTTTTTTTTGTCAAGTATGAATTATTCAGCCTTATTTCTGTGTGGGTTTTGTTTTTCAATGTGTGTGTGTGTGTGTGTGTGTGTGTGTCTATGGCAGGATGTGTGTCGCTCCTCCTGCGTGTGTGTGGCAGGATCAGTGAATGTATGTCTGGGAGGACAGCTCCAGGTATCACTGTCCTCTGAGCCTCAGTGCCCCCCCGGCAGCACTAAAACAACACACTCTGCCTCCTGCTCTTCCCCTGGGCTGAGAGAGACACAGAGAAAGAAAGAGAGAGAGAGAGAGAGAGAGAGAGAGAGAGAGAGAGAGAGAGAGAGGCATGTGAAAAAAATGACATTTGATTTAGACACAAACACACACCACCACACTCCTCAATAAAATGTCACTCCATGCCAGCAGCACATAATATACTCTACAAAGCCTCAAGCATTAGATACACATAAAGTAAGTCATTTGGCCAGAAAACTGAAAAATGCCCCGAGAACTTTCTGTAATGTAATTAGTTTGTCCAAAGGTTATTTACTTCAGTATAAGACAATGAATAGCAGGCATTGTCACAGAGCTAATCATTTGCTGCTCCTCAACTGATCAATTAAAAGACTGTTGCAGCTCTATAGACGTGAGCACTGATGGGCTGCTGTAATAAACTCTACTCTTCAAAGAAGGCAGGAAGAGATTTACTCCCATTCAGCATCAGGACTGATATTCTAAACACCAAACTCCCAATACGCAGTCCTGACCAATCGGGTGTCAGTCTCAGCTGTCAATCACGACGTTTCACCCGGATTTTACTGCATCAAATAACTAATCAAAACCAACATTTGAATATACATTAGTGTGTTTGATCTACCTAGAATGACAGAAACTAAAATTCAAGCAAATTTTATTAAACATGTATTTTTACTTGTTATTTTTTCCCATTATTAATTAAACCCATCCAATAACAGTCAGGATTTATGATCCATTCTGCAGCCATCCACTAGGTGGCGACCAAGATGCTTTCACTTCACACTCTTTATAAACAGTGTATGGTTATGAAATTAAACCTCCATACTCTGACGAACTCTATGGTAAACAAGTCACTGTCCATACACTTCTGTGTACCTTCAGGCCGTCAGACAATAGAGTGTTAGATACCTGTAGTATTATCACTGTCAGGAAAACACTAACACAGTACAATATTACATAACCTGTAATACTGTGTGTGTACTCTAGCTGGAGCCGAAGCTAAACCATACTTACCAGTAACAGTAACACACTGCAGTAAAACAAACACCCTTATCCATGCTGATAGAAAAGTGCATTTAAAACACACCCAAGCAAACACACACTATGCCAAACCATCACTTACAGTCTTAACAACATGCCTACATCTCTCGCTGCAGGAACCTAAACAGGACTGCAAATGAAAAGAATCAAATGACTCCCCATTCTTGGATCACATTCTTTCCCATTATGAATATACTGTTGCCCTTTTAATCCCTGAAATGAACCCTGGGAGTGGCTGACTCTGAGGAAAAGAGAGTGAGGTAAGTGAAAGTCGAGACGATGCCTGCAGGGGCGGGCCTTGAAATGTGATGGGAGACTGGCAGGAGCAAGAATGGGGAGATTTTTAAAAAAAAAGGAAAAAAAGAACAATAAAAAAGACATGAGGTCTAAATCATGTGAACTACTACGTCGTTATGGTTCAGGGGATGCAAGGACGGAGGAGAAATGCAACCTCAGCAGCAAAGATGATGTGACGGACAGAAGAAAAGTTGCAAGTAACAGCCACATAGGGAAAAAAAGAGGTGAAACTCACAGAATGAAAGAGACCGTATTTACCAGAATGGTAGGGGCCACTCAGCCAGTGGAAGTGGAGGAGAGATTGTGACTCTGAGCCCTGGGATTGGCTGCTTCTCTCTGGAAGTACTGCGAGGGTGCTGAGCCTAGCTTATGGGCCATCGCTTTTTTAGGGGTTGGGTTGGGGGGGAGCGGGTGGGTTGGGGAGGTCGGGAATATTGAAGTGTTGCGGAGGAGTTGGAGTTGGGTACACAAGGGAGACAGAAGGGATTAAGGGAAAAGATGAGCATTTGCGAAAGAGGAAAGAGCGTGGGCACCAGGAGAGAGGAGGGGAGGGGCAGTTTATCAGGAGACGACAGAGCAGCAGTGGGAAGCAGAAAGAAAGAGACACACACACACACACACACACACACACACACACACCCAGGCTGAGACTGTGATAAACATAAAAAGACTTCATCTGAGCACATCAGGCATGCATACTTAATGAATACAGTGTTTTAAAGTAAAACTCCTGGGATGCTCTGAAACAAGGCGATGTAATTGGTTAACTTGAAGTCTTTAAATTAGCATCCTTAGAAATCTAATTGTTAAATGAAAATGTACATCAAGACTCTATAATTACATCTACTTTTAAATGACAGTGCATTAAGCAGTTCTGACCTTAGGTAGAACCTTTACTTGTACAGCTTGCTATTCAATGCTTGTTGATATTCTACATTAGTTCTTTGAGTGCATAACCAATGGCACAAGTGTAATCTGCTGCTATTAAAACTAAGAGTCTTTAGCCATGCTAACAGCTCTGTGAGGCAGGACTTAAAAGCACAGTGGTGCTTTAAGCCAAATCCTAATGCTATCATGCTAGCAGGTCAGTGAGGCTGTGCTTATAATGCTACGTTCCATTAAACATCAGAGCTTAGAATTAACAACCCCAGAGTCAGAAGTTGCGACTGGAGCGCCCCCTGAAATCGGATTTTCGACTGGGATGGTCGGAGCAACCTCACCACCCATGACTTTGAAATCCAAGATGGCCACTCCATGTAAAAAAAAAAAAAGATTTATGAAAGCTGTAGTTTTAACTGTTTATTAGCACTTCTGTCATTTATTTGTCGTACACATAGTAATGTCCAATTACTGTCTGTGGCATGTTACTATGGTGTTAGTGTGTGAAATGCTATGTAATGTACTGAACTGGTTTCGCTAACAATGTATTGCAGTGACTGGAGTTGAGGATCATTATGTAATGGACCTGGGGACAGACTGCGACACTATGTGACATTTATGACCACATGGTGGCATGAAAGAGGACACAGAAAAGACAGGGGAAAAAAACGAGAAGAGTAAGAGGACAGGGAGCAGAACCTATTCTCTATTCCTACTGGGAACTCCTCATTCCCTGCTTTTTTCCTCCCCCTCTATTCATCTACCCTGGAGGACTTACTTGACTCTGGGTAGACTGAGGATCTCTTTCCTGGATCTTTCTGGAGGTGGATGTCTTTGACGGAGAAGATGGATGCAGCTAAAATAACCACAGAGAAGTTAGTGAGACAGTGTGTAGATGACATTTGTGCATGTCCAACAGTCGGACTGTGTGTACTCACTGTCAGCTAGTGTCTGAACCTGCTCTCCAAGACTTCTAAAATATGAGTGTCTGAAAGCATCCTCAGCTGATACACGCTTCTTTGCCTCAAACTTAAGAACAGAAACACAGAGACAGTATTGTTAACCGTTTATCCAAAGTTTTGGGTACAACTTTTTCTTGTTTTTTTGTATGCAGCAATGTTCTTTTACCTGTAGGAGCATTGAGAGCAAGTCGTGGCCGTCGTTGTCTATTCTGTAATAGAAAGCAAATAGGGTTGTGGAAGAGAAATGAAGGGTGGACTGTCAGTTTAGTCAAATGCTGACATAGGCCCTATATAGCTGTGTAATGTTCCTGCCCTTCCATCAGAGGCGGAAATGCTTGACTACAGTTTCTCCTGAAAATCAATCCTGCATCTTATTACATCTAACATATCACAGTCACTCAATACACACACACAAAAGCACACGGACTGGTTAAATCTACACACCTTGGTGCGTGGTTGACGAGGGGTTCTGCACGGTATTGTGGGAAATTGTACGTCTTAAATTCTTCACTGGTGGTGATACCCGGCCAAGTCTCTTCAGTAGGTGTACCTGTAAGAGAGGGCGGGCAGTATACAGAGAATTACATGCACACACGTAAAAGCGTGAATGTTGCACAAGCAAACGCTCACTCAAATTGAGCTGGTGTTGTCTTACCAAGGATACGGAATATGAGGTGAAGCTCATCCTCCACAGTCGATCCAGGGAAAAGAGGTCTGCCGGTGATCATTTCATAAAAGATACAGCCCACACCCCTGGACACACGGACAGAAACAGAAGAATGTGACATCATCTAAACCTGTGTTCTAGAGTCGTATTGAGGGGCAGATGGAGCTCAATACATAAGTGATATGTTCCACACTGTTTATATCACAAATTAAGAAAGTGCTCAAATGCTGAGAAACATTTTTTTAACATTCAACTACAAAGACACTAAAAAAAGGAAAAATAGCCAAAATTATAGTTTCTGCGGTTTTACACCCCACAACAAACCACCTAATGTAAAACACAGTACCTATTTAAAAGAGGGAACTAAATCAAGTCTCAGTCCAGAAATAATTTGCAAAGCTCTTAAAAAAAATAAAGGTGTCATAGGACTCAGTAATATTTACTGTTAAACCTTTGCATGTAAACTGCAAACTGCAGTTTGTCAACAGAGACAATGATGAACAACAAATGTGGGGAACTGGGAGGGATTAACAGTAGAACAAACAGAAATATGAAAAGGACATTAAAAAAAACAAAAAACAGAAGAACTTACTTACTGTTTTTTTTCCCTAAAACTGTGTGTAATTGTAAATGTGTTTGCTCACCACATGTCAATGGGTGTGGAGTACTCAGTGGAGCCTAGAAGCACATCTGGTGGTCGGTACCATAATGTCACAACTTCATTTGAGTAGGTCTTCGTAGGGACAGACTTGGCTCGGGCCAAACCTGAATTCAAACACAAAAAAAGGGGGGGGGACAAAGTTACACAAATATTGCCTTATTTATTAAATGAGATGTGCACCACAGGTGAACAGGTCAATGGAATATCCTTCCAGAACTCAACATACAAGAACAAAGCTTCACATACTGAAAGAGGTCAGGACTTTGAGTTGTACCTGCATTTGTATTTTATTAACTTTCTTATTACTGGAGTAGTATGACCAGTTGACATGTGGATATCTTTACCTACAGAGGGCAGTGTTGGGAGGTTAGTCAAGAGTGTTGTTGGGTTTAAGGAGGAGTGTTGCCTCTAGTGGCTGCTGGTGAGGCTTTCAACCTCATGCACTACATGTCTTATTAAAAAAGAAAAAAAAAAAGAAACTCCACCATAAATCTTTAAAACTAAACTAATTCTAACTTTGAGTCTTGGTTTCAACATTGTTCGTTGAAATTATAAAGCACATGTCAAAGCTGCTCAAAATTGCGAGTTAAACTGTGCCACCTCTACTCGTGAACTTCTGAAAAGTCAAACCAACACAGAAAGTTTTCAGACAATTAATAAGACTGATGTGGTCTAGTAAAAGTTTTACCAAAGTCTGCCAGTTTGAGCTCTCCCTTTTCATTGATGAGGAGGTTCTGGGGTTTGAGGTCTCTGTGGAGAACCTTCCTTCTGTGGCAGTACGCCAGACCTCTTAACAGCTGGAACAGAAAGATCTGAGGAGAGGAAAGGAGAGAAGAGGAGAGGCTAAATATTATACTAATAATAAACAACCACCCAAATTACTGTTAAGACAGAATCTTGTAACTTTTTATTTATTTCAGTTGTTTGGATTTATATTATATTCAACATCTCTTCAGTACTGACCGTTCGCATTATTCTGAATTACCTTGACATTGTGAACACTCATGATGCTCCCACAGTCATCCATGTACTGCTTCAGGTCTTTTTCCTGAGAGATAGAGGAAGGAAGGAAGGGAGGGAGGGAGGGAGGGTACAATATGTAGATTTACATTGATAATTCCTTTAAAAACACACACAATAGCCATGCGCAGTACAGGCACTCACCAGGTACTCAAACACGAGTGTCAGGCACTTGTCAGTGTGGATAATGTCATGGAGAGTGACGATGTTGGCGTGCTTCAAGTCTTTCAGAAGAGACACTAGAAGAAGGAGACACGTGAGACACTGTCAGTCAAACAAAGACAATGTGTGAGTAGAAAAATAAAACGTCTCATAGAGCAGGGAGCCACATCAGCATCGACGTAAGGTCCCAACAACAGCGTCCTGACCTTCTCGGATAGCCGTGCAGGGTGCACCCTCCTCGTGCTCCAGTCGGATCTCTTTCAGAGCCACTAAATTGTCTGTCAACTTGCTTCGACCCTTAAACACAGTAGCATAAGTCCCCTGGAGAGAAGGAAAAACACATGTGAGTGCACTTGTGAAATAAAGTATACAGAGTATTTCAAGACTTTGCCTGTTCTTTGTGTTCCGTTCACTGATTTCTTGAGCTCACCTCTCCTAGTTTGTCCAGTTTGATGTAGGTCTCAAGTTTCCCAAAGCCGATTTCAGACTAGAGAGAACAGATAGAAAACAGTTTAAAGCGCTACCATAATAAATTATCACTAAGCCACTGCCCCATTTATTTTGTCTATAATCTGATTCTTGGCTACCTCACCGTACTTAAGATAACCACTCTTGAATCAAATCCTCCAGGCCAAGGCTGATAGTTCAGATTTCAGTCCCAGTGCTGCTGACATTTGGCCAATAACTGCAGGGTCTGAGTCACCAGGACTTGTCATTCTCTGCGTGTGTGTGTGTGTCTGTGTTTGTGCCAAAACATGGATCAGGGCCCAACCCTCCACAAAATTTCCTTTTTTGCGTAACCCTGCTGAATCACAAACCAGAATGGCATGCAGGTGAGCGTATACCTCCACCAACAGTCCCTATCTTGCGATATTAAACAAAGTGAAAAGAAACTTCCTGGATCCGCCCTCTGATCCAGGTCTGCACCAAAACTAAACGGGTTCTTCCTGGAACCACACCACACCAAGTTTTGTGGAAACCGCTCAAATATTCATTTTCAACAGGAGTGCACAGGAGTGCAGACGTACAGATGGACCGTGCATGACACCTCAAGAAATGAATTCAGATTTGTTTTAGGCTCTAGAGGCTCTTGGTCACTCAATAACAACATTCAGGACACAGCATATACACACACACATCTGAATAAAATGTAATTTCATCATTTCAAGTGTCTCCTTACTGTGTCTTTTCAATGCTATAGTGTGACATCATTGTCAGTTCTGTACATACATTTCTTGGCCACAGGAAGTCAGTATATATATATTATATACTATATTATTATGGCATGAGCTCGTACACTCCAGACAGCCTAATGTGGATAAAATATCACTTCTAAACATTTTTATGGATATCCAACAGACATACTTTACATCTGTGTACGCACATTGAATTCAGAATTAATCCTGTTCTTAGTTAATAAAGGTTTAGCTGCATAATGTATGTGGCCCCTGGGTTTTCAGGTCATGAATTATAGATGGATGTAGCTATGTCAAGCTGTGATACCCACAGGCCTGCCAGTGTTTATCCCTCACGCTGACAGTTTTCCTCACTTATTTGTCTTTCTCTGTCAGGGTCTCCTCTGCCACGGTTTAACTGTATTCGTCTCTCCGAACGTACCCATCTCCCTCAATCTTGTGCTGGCCCGTCCCATCATGATGCTGATCCGAGTGCCATGCCAACGCTTGGCGGGGGAGGGACTCCAGTGACCAAGTTAGCTGATGAAGCATGTGATATCTTTAAAGCCATGCCTAACAGCCAGCATCCCGACACGCTCGGACTCATGAAGACACACTTACACGGTAAAATAAGTGTATTTGTGTGTGAGCATGTGTGGGTCTGTGGACAAGTTCTAATTCTATATAACTAATTAAGAGACATAATGTGTGTGTAGTATGTGTGAAGCAACATTTTGTGGGTATTTGATTGTGTGTCCCTGTGGGCAAGAAAAAAACGTATTTGTGATGAGACATACAACCTATGCTGAAATGTAAACACACTCACCCTGCTCTCACTCACACACACACACACAGCTTCTCCCTCCATGTTTGTGACAGGGGCTGTCAGGAGCTGTTGCTGAGCTGTGTAGCTCTTTTGACAGGGGGAGTCAGTCTCATGACCACACACACACACACACACACACACACACACACACACACACACACACACACACACACWAAARAAAAGTGTGGCCTCTCGCCTTTTTGAAGCATCTATAAAACAAAAGAAAGGCCCAGCTCTTCACCTCCAGCCCATTCTCTGCTTACAGAGTGCAACTGCGCTCCCTATCTGTGTACCTTACAATGCTTTTTGTAAGCGCGTGAGTGTGTGTGAGCTCATCCCTGCGTATGCTTTTGATGGCAACGGGTTCATTCCATTTCCAACGCTCCAGTGAGCTTACTCAGCAGAACTAGGTCAGGCCAAGTTTGAGTGATCAAATTAAAGCAACATAAAACCAGAAACAAAATGTGTGCTCTGTCTGAGCCCCATATAGGAACCGAGGAGACGTGTGGATAAATGGACTGACGGCAAAGGGAAGAAATGTGAGAAGAAAGATGTCTGCAAAGTGGATCGAATGTGTATCGAGAAAAATGTCGATTACCTCTTGAGCACTGAGTGGGAGAGGGAAAATGACAATGAGGAGAGGTGGCAGTAAATGGGAGGAGAGTAGAGCTCTTTAATTAACATGATGTAGCCGGCCCAGGCTTCGATCAATCAACCAGTAAACATCTTGCTCTGCGTCACCTTCTACATGTGAACCCGCTGATAACAACAGAATTTGACCAAAAGGAATGGACGTAAAATTAAGTTGAGTTACGATAATTTCAGGTTTCATCAGATACGTACGCAATTAGCAAGAGGGGCACATAAACTGTTGTCTAAAGACTAGTATATGATAAATGTACTTATGTCACGTTGGGGTTGAATGGGTTAGAAAAAAGTGAGCTTTGCACCTTTAAGTGTTGTGACTTGAGATAAAAATGACATCTTGTTCATTGGAAGAGTGGGTCATCCACTCATCAGGAGGGTGGTGGTTCGATCCCCGGCTGCTTCGGTTCGTGTCTTATAGCAAAACACCAAACTGCCCCTGATGGCTGCACCAGCAGTGTGTGAATGGGATGCATGATAAAGAAGCACTATATATAGAAGCGCTGTATGAATGCATGTTCGAATGGATGGATGTGACTCGTAGTGTCCAGCGCTTCCAGCGGACTTTAGAAAGGCGCTTTATAACTGCAGTCCATTTAACATTTCCTCAGCACCATGGAACACTGGATCTCATTGGACGGCTCTGTGAATAATTGATTATGAGTGGGCAGCAGCCATGAGTGAAAAGTGATACCAACCAACTTCACTTACATTACATTGGAAGCCATTCAGAGATCAGAATACACAGTTTCAGACGCGATGCACCTGTTATGCGACACCGGACACATGTTCAATGTTATGGTAACAAATGAGCCCAAAAGCCATTACATCACTGAGCTCACATTCAGTCATTAAAACTTCAGTTCATTCACTGAAAGGATGACTAAGGACATTTTTGTCTATTTGGGGAAGCTGGGGGATGAAAACTATGTTTTAATGATTTGTTATCATTTGTAACATGCTTGGGGTTGTGTTCTAACTACAGGTCCTTCAACTGTCCCATTGGACGAAACTAGGCCTCACAGTGCAACTAGTGTAACACAGTCGAAAACTTAATTCTGCTTGGTTGCACAGTTGAGCACATACCTCTGTTAAGGCCCCTTAAATTAAATCAAGCTGCATCAAAATTCACACAAGCATGGATATCATTTCCCTAAACGTGCCTGACTTTTTAAATAAAGATCCATGAATTATTCCCTGGGAAAACAGTGAAAATTGTGAAAAACATCCTATCTTGCATTGTTAGGGAAGGTGGATACAAATTCTTGAATCTGCACCAAGATTGAATTTGTGCTTCCCTGCCCCACACCACACCCTTCCACCAAGTTATGAAAATCCGCTCACTTAATTTTGTGTTATCTTGCTTACAAACAAACCCACAAAAAACGGTCAGGGGTACAAACATAATCTCCTTAGTTGAGGTAAAGATGAGCTACTCTACATAAACTTTGCATTCCAGTAAAGGCTGGTTTAATCAGCTGCTATTTGTCTTTTCTGTAACTCCACTTTGCATATTTGTTCATCCTTGTTTAAAGCATTTTATCACGTTTTAAAACATGTCTCCCTGTCATTAGTTTCCCTCATCATGCCTCTATGCGTCTTTCCCTCTCTCCTCCCTGCTCTCTGGCTCACTTCAAGGTGTCCCAGCATGAAATCCTAGTCAGGAGAGGAGCAGCAGCAGATGAGTCTGGCACTGCTGCTGAATTATTGATTCATCTATTGCATCACATCCATACAATCACCATGTCCACACACGAGCTGACAAACAACGTCAGAAAAGAAAAACTCGTTTATTTTGAGAAGACGCATAATCTCTACAGATTATCCTCTTTTTATGATCCGCCCTTACACCTATAAACCTCTCTTCTTCCCAGCAAACTTTCCTTCAAACATTCCTCCCTTTCATCTCCACGTGACTCCTGCAGAAAAGCTGTGTCATTAAATAGCTTCAAGCCGGGAGCCGGGGGCAGGGCACAGGCCTCTGTTCAATAATTACAGCAAAACTGCTTGATGGAGGTCGAATCCTTAATGCTTTCCCATAGAACTTCCAGACTTCCGGGAAATCGCGTTGTAAGTAAAATGCACCAGTAAGGCTGAGTGAATTGGATTTTTAAGAGAATGTGCATGCGAGGGGGAGAGAGTGGGGGAAAGAGAGCGGTGCACTCAGTCGTGTATGAGGGGAAACTTGAGAAATGAGTGTGAACGCAGACACAAAGGAGTGATGTGAAATAAAGGGTGAACAAGATGAAAAACCAAGAGGAGTTCTTCAGCAGCAATACAAAGGGGTGTAAAGGACATACTGCATATTCATGAATATCTGCCTATTCTTACCAATCAATCCCTTTCTGTCACCTCTTCTCTCACCCACCCCCAGTTTCATACTCATACACAGTCTTGGCCTGGATACATAATATACACTCCATCATTCATTCCCTACTGAGCCATTGTAAGCTCTATAGCATAAAGCAGTTTACAATGAGTCTATGTTTGTGTGTGTCAGTGCATATAATGGCTTTAGAGAACCATGTTAAAGGTGCACAATGGCATTCAAAGTTCACATTACTTTTGTTGCTCAACAAAGCCGAGTCAAAAGAACAGCACACACCCACCAGTGCTCAGAAAATACACATGCAAAGCAGGGATTGACAAAAAACAACAACACCAAAGTGGCGGACTGAAACTAGTTTCAGCTGCTTTGCACACATATACACAAATGCAAATACACACACAAGTGCACACACTGAGCACTGACCAGTGAAGCACGTCGTAGCCTGCGGCTCATGGGTTTGTCGAAGGGCGGGCTGTTCATTGCAAACTTCTCCAAGTAGCCCTCCGGTAGCCGGATATCAGCTGGGAGAGACAAACGCTTGTTTATGTCCTGAAACAGAGAAAATGAAGAGAGAAAGAAAGGTTTATGAGTATTTTTCATATATCAGCTTTAACTCTAATTTCTACCTAAATTATAACCAAATGACAGCAGTGACATTTTTGAGGGAGGGGTCTCCTTGAAACGTTTATTTGCACTAATACACATCTGCAGTAATTCAGCTTCATTCCATAAAATGTGCAGATATAAGAGGACATATCATAAATACAAATTAATCAAAATAAAAAGGATATGAAATGATTTAAATTTTAACAGTTAAATAAGGCAGAGTTAAGTTGACTTGACATCTTAAACAATCTCAACATTAACAAGATGATTAGTATATTAACCAACCATCATTAACCCTGGAGGGACATATTTCTGAGGCAGACGAAAGACTTGAATTTTTCTTTGGTAACTTGGCCTACTTTTGAGACCAAACCACACACGCGCTTTCTCCATCAGTCTTTCCAGGATATGAGTTTGTCAAGCGACAGCAGCTCAGTCAAATCTTTAGTTTTAGATGCCTCACTCTGCTCTTGTGAATGAACGTCAGTTACAAGGAGTCAGCAGCACAGACAAGAAGGCCACATACAAGGCCACTTCATAAAAATTCAAGGTCCAAATAGGTTGCTGGCAAGTTTCAGGCTTATTTTCAGAACACACTGTTGGCAGAGTAGAAGGTTGGTACACCGCTGGTCCCAAACTTCTCTCCACAAACTGGAACACATCTGGAGGCATTCTTCTTGTTATTAATCACGGTTGATATTGTGTTCTCCTGCACTCAAGTCTAAAGTAGCAGATTTTTCTTTCAGTGTGTGAACTGTACCAAAGACAGGATTGTGACGTCAGTCAGGAGCTGTGGCATCTCTTGAAAAAGTTACATTCAGTCGGCCTTCTGCTTATGATGACCTTACTTTTACACCTTATTTTTGAGACCTTGTACTTTTACTACACAGCGAATGTAAAATGAATACCAGGGACCAAACCACTCCACATCAGCTGGAATAACTTTCATTTCCTCATCCTTGCTGGAATGCAACTGTGTGCTGCTACTTTTCCCACAATGCATCCCTCCTATATGCTATCCATGTAGGACGTGTTCACTGGCAAGGTGCTAGTCACATGTTGTTTCCATGGCAGCAGCTTCTGGCCCAGTCCCAACCGCCCCACAGTACATACCCTACATGTGTGTGTGCGTGATCATGAGTGTGTTTACATCTGAATGTTAGTGGGACCATAGAGGAGTGTGTGTTTCCGTAAAGATAAAAGGCTGAGGGATTTCACGCCTGAGACGGTTTTATCTGAGCTCATTGGCTACAATAACAACATGCAGCATTACATATGAGCACATTGAGAAAAATACAACATAACCTGCAGACCTTTGTATAATTTATACATTTTTAAGATTCACTGAGCATCTGATTCACAAAAGAGTAAAATACAAAACAGTAAGGAACAACAGACTAAACCTGCAAATAGCTGCCACAAAAATAATAACTCTCTCACAAATCATTAATAATTCATGCAACTCATAATACTAGTGACCTCAGATGTGCAACAACAGATATTCACACAAGTGCACTCTCCATGCTAGTTTTCAAAAGGACAACAATGGACACAAGTTGACAAAAACACTGACACTCATGCCCTCTTATCCACGGGCACGGACTGAATAAAGACCCACATATAAACACATGTGTCCCCGTACTCACAAAGCAGAACAGCTCTAGTAGCTCCCTCATTGTCCTCCTTAAACGTGTCTTTCTGTACAGTCACACACATGCGCTTTCAACGATGCATGTCTCTGACCTGCCACATGACTGCACACACACACTGACGGAGAGAGAGCAGGAGAGAGAGCAGGAGAGAGAGAGGAAGAGGGAGGCTGGCACTGTTGTAGAGTGCCATCCACATGCTCAAAGGAGGAGGAGGAGGAGGGGAACGCATGAGCAGAGGAGAGAGGAATGGACAGATTCCTGAGGGGAGAAAGGCAGAAGGGGGGAAGGGGTGAACAGAGGGGGATGGCTGAGAGGAAACACAGCTCTCTCCCGCCATTCATTTTGTCCTCCACGTCTCCCTCCTCTGTCTTATCATCCCCAGAGCTCTGTTATTCCGGTTTCTCCTCTTTCTTTGCCATACCAATAATTAGTCCTACATCCATAATTACTGTCTCACCCCGGCATTTTCCTCCCCCCTTCTCCTCTTTCCCCCTCTGTGTGGTAAACATGGTCTAAATTAGTCCCTTCCACTGTTCACAGCAGTCAGAGGCAGCAGCCTGTGTGTCCAGAGGCATTTCCCGTAACACTGCTGCGCTCATCACTCTGCGACTCCTTCAAAACACACGCGCGCACAATAAAGAGTGCGTGCATGAAAATAAAAGGCAAAGGTGCACTCACACAGACATGCAACTTCATGTACGTTAAACATGATGGTCTCCGATTTTGGAACCCACTGTGTTCACAATTCAGCCGCATCATTAAACTCAATAATTGATTTTAGTGGATATCTGCAGTAAGCTGAAGCTAGTGAATGGACCTGTGTGATTTATCGGTCAAGCGCTACCATCTGGCAGACTGAATAGTCCCCTTAGCATTTCCTATGAACTGAGTAATGAACAGTGAAGGAGTGAGTGTTTTGAGACTGGACCCAAGAGTAATTTGGGAGGTCAGTGTTGAATATCAGTGAATAATGTTGTGTCCATGTGACTTTCCTCTGGTTAGATACAGTATATAACTGCACTATGTCTGGTGTGTGTGTGTGTGTGTGTGTGTGTGTGTGTGTGTGTGTGTGTGTGTGTGTGTGTGTGTGTGTGTGTGTCCTGGCTTTCCATACTTCATTAGAGATGCGCCGATGGTGGTTGTTCCTCATGCGAACCCTGACCGGACTCTGCACCTCATCAGAAGACGTCCCAGACGCCTGGTCGCTCTCTCCATCTGAACCCATCTTCACATTCTCATGGACGATACCTAGAAAACACACACAGACACAAACACACACAGTGTTATTATCTGGACTTACTCTCTGTGAAATTGAACTACTGGAGAAACCAAACCTGAGCTGAACATTTAATGTCGTTCTTTAATATTCTACAAAACAGATCATTTGGAAAGTGTTTTCATTGTAATGACACTGACGCTCTTTCACTCTTGAGTATTCTCGTCCTCTGTTTGCCTTTCCATGTGCTCATGTGAGGCCTTTTGTCTTTCTCACATTCACCCCTCTGTGACAGCCATAGCAGGGTCCCAATCCCCAGAATATGAATTGTACCACCAACACAGGGGCGTAAGCCGAGTGCAGATTTCAGATCGATATTACCCTGCATGCGATGGGAGCTTTCCCATCTCTGCCTGCCAGTGCACCACACACACGCACGCACACACACACACACACACCCCTCAGTCCACCCTAGAATCCATCTGATTAATGAGTCACGGTGCTGCAGACAAGACTGCCTCCTTCACTGGTGAGTGAGTAAATGTGGGGGAGGGTAACTCTTCGGGTTTGGTTTCATTGATGCCTGACAGCTCTCAACTCTGGGTCATGTGCAGCACATACAGTAAGTGTGAGTGGGTGTGTGGGGGAATCTGACGACAGATACAGTACATCCAAAGGGACTTTTATAACCGTGAGGACAAAAATGGAGGTCCTGATGTGTGACAGGTTTTTAAAGGTTGAATCTAGAGTTACATTAGGTTTTGTTTAGGGTTAGGAGGAAGAGTTAGGTCTAGATTATTAGTTATGATAGTCGAAGTTCAGGTGTGAGGAATGTATGACGTTTTGTTTCTGTTTGGTTTGTATTCGGTACAGAGGGACTTGGCAGATGTCAAAGCTAACCCCCAAATGTTAGCTACATCCTAATTAACCATTACATCCTACTTTACCATCATCTACTGTGTACACGTTAAACAGCCGCCATCAGCAGAGGAGAGGGAGATGAAAGGGAGATAAAGGGGAAGATTGGGGAGGATGGTTTTGATGAGAAGAAGTGATGAACTGGAAAGAAAGATAAGTCCCTTGAGTGACTCTGACACCTCAGCCTCAGGACAGAAAATGAGGGCCAGACAGGTAACGCAATTTATCATAGAGCACAGAGCGGAGTAATAACACCTGAGGTTGATTCCAGGTCATGCGTGTGAGGCCCCTTTATGTGGGAATGGGCAGGTTTTCAGAAAAGATCACTGGTTTCTACTGAATAAAAAATATAAAAGCTGCAATGTGGACAAAATAAAGCAACCTGTCTTGGCATTCTTATGACCTATAAATACTGCAAAAAGACAATAAGCACTGCTAAAAGCATGGACGGAAAATATTTGTAAAGAATGCACCATATAATTATCCTCGATTTCAAGCCTATACTGCAAGAGGAACGGAGGAGGATAGGAGAGCAGAGGTGCCTGGTACAGATGTAAGATAACACTACCCACATTTCATCTGTTTTACATCTTCAGTTCATTTTCAGTTGATCTTGATATGTTTTGTTTTTAATTTCTTTTTTCAGTTGAGGACATTTTCAGGGATCAAAATGAGAAATGGAGAAGAGAGTGACGCGGAGGAGTAGATTAGTAATCTTACTGTCATTTTATGTTGTTTATCTGACTATGCTGTTCTCTAAACAAATATAATATCATTTCAGTAAAGGTTCCTCTGTTGGCCAATCATTCAAGTCAGTGTTGAAGACAAAATTTACTTGGCCTTGCAGGAGATTCTTCAAAATTGGAACCAGAGCAGCCGAGATTCTCACGGCACAGATTCAAATACAGCAGATTTGGTGTGAGAGAATTTTTGACCATCCTCATACAGTAAATCTGTTCACCATGAAAAGAGAACAGCCCGACTCATTCCACAGATACTCCCTTTTCTCCAAGCAGTATCCAAGGTCAGGTTATAGATAAAGGGCCAACTAGCAGTGTCTACTCTCATGGATTTTCAGACCTAATTCAGATGCCAGAGAGAGAGGCATCAACTCCAACTCTTTTGCGTATTCCATCAGTAGCTAAATGTAAAGGTTATGTATGCATGCTTTTCGTGGATGCGCTGTTAAGATGGTTGACGCAAGGTGAGGGAGATAAATTGGGATGCTGTGGGAAACATCTTCAGACTTGGGGGTGACAATTGTTCATGTTACTCTGTTGGTATATTGTTCCACCTTCCGGTCTCCTTGATGCTTCAAGCCTACATTTAAATCTTCTCCTTTCACCAGCTTCCAGAAAACTTCCATCACACATGGCATTATTGATATGTCAACTTGAAATTTTAACTCGTCAAAAATCTATTGTTGATATCTACAATTTTGCTATTTCTGCCACTGATGAAATGTTGAATCAAATTAAATTAAAAACCATGCATCCTCTGGCAGGATAACTTTCTGAAAATTAGGAACCTAATGATGACTTACTGTGAATTAAAACCTTCCATAAACAGACGTTTTCTTACCAACAAACAGTCAAACTACATCTGTCCATTAGTCCAGCTATCTGTTGACAAAAGCAGCATGTTCTCATTAGCAAAACACAACTAAAACACAATCCATCTGTGTAAATGCTCAGTACACCAACCAGTCTGATGCCTGAGGCCTGTGGCCTCAAATCCAGACACAGATCACTGGACTGGTGAATGCATAAAGAACAGCTTGGTAAGAAAACTGAGCAGTGAGTCGTGATATCAGAAATCAGCCCTCACAACCCTGATGGTGAAACACTAAACTCAAGATAACAAACACCAGAGCGAGGGGAAACTGATCCAGGATACCTACATTCTGACAGACGCACACATATGACCACACACACCCACGAGCAGTGAGTATCCAGTACTGCTGTTATGTCACAGCTCTTTCTCACTTTCAGAGATGTCGGGAGTTTGTCTGTTAGTGTAAACAGCGAGGCGGATGCGGGCGCATGACACATGAGGACTGACCTGGGAGGAAAATTCAAATGCCAATATGTCAATGTTAGGGAGTAAAATAATTCCTAAAATGTAATTGACAACTAAAATGACAACTAAGTGTGATTGAGGCTTTATATCTTACAGTTTAAACTCACATGTCTGTGAAAGGCTCATATCAGGCCAATTTTTATTAGTCAACTGATAAATCGGGCGAGCTCTGCTACACACACAATGACACACACAATGACACACACAAACATATCTTAATCTCTCAGGACACTCTCTCCCAGTCCTCTGCAGGCTCTCTCTGTTCCATTTTCATAGCAGACTAAGGGCAGACAGTAAGTTTCATGAGTTACACCTGGCTCTGGAGCCCGGCTGGCCTACTTCAGGTTGCTGACTCTCCGCTAACAGGTCTTGAAGAGTAAATGCGCTGCTTTTAGAACTATCCTTACCTCATTCAACTCTGAGCTGGAAATCCACCTCAGGAAATGATTGAAAAGCCAATGGAGGGGTTGTTGAAAGAAGTAAAGTCAGTGTAAGACTCACTTCAAGAGCTTTTCAAAGAGTAATGGAAATCTTTTTTTTTTTTTGACCAAAGCTCTCACTCCACAAGGCTCACTTATAGGCTTTGAACTTTTCTTTTCTATTTCTTAGGCCAATTTCTCAAACTGCTTGTAATGTAAGCACAGCACATCGCACTGTCTGGCACATTTGTGTGTGAGTGGTAGGCATACAGATAGTGCAGTCACTGTGCTGAAAGGCAAATTAATAAAAAATTCAAAAGAAGAAGAACTTGATGGCCTCTTCGCTTCTCTGAGGAGTTCATGGGTTTCCTGAAGTTACCCACATTTACTCACATGCAAGCACACACACACACACACACACAAATGTTGAAATTAATAGCCAAAGATGTTCATAGTTGCAGATCAGGAGATTCTGACTGAAAAATAACAATCTATATCTTGTATCTGATGAAACCTGAGGACAGTTTGATCTTAACTTCATATTTCCATATATACAGACATATTACATGTGTTAATACAATGAGAATACAATTATTCTAAGACATTATGACACAAACTAGAATAAATTTGTGTTTCATCTATTGAACAATTTTTTAACCTAAATAGCTTAAACTGTATATACAGTATATGAAAACTGCTGTTGTGCAGATGGAAGATCAGGATGCAGATGAACTTGATGATGACAATGATGAGACTCACCGATACGGATTCCCGGAGGACGACGTGAGTCTAGCACTCGAAGCATGCGGAAGGGCGACAGCCTCAGCGGGGTGTCTCTCTCTCCCATTCTCACGCCCTCTCCCACTCTAGGGTCCTCCACCCTGGTTTCTCCCACTTTGGTGGGAGCATGAGCGGGGCACCCTTGGGGGTTGCCCGACGTATCCATCATTCCAGAGGATTCAAAGAGCTACAGCCAAGAGGTTTGTATAAAAACCTCAAAAATACATTTCGTCAGATTTTTCAAGAAATTAAGGCCTTTTCAATGAGTCAAGATCATTTCAGTTCAGTTGACCTGTCGGGGGGGGTAACAAGCACCTATCACTAATTATGGATCAAATCTATCCTTCACGCTGCCTCCTTCACTCCAGTAGAACCATATGCGCAGGTCTTACATTTGGAGGACAGTGCAGGCACACGAAGCACAATACAAACAACTCCCTTGGCTGCTACTCCACTTTAACTGACTATCTCTCTTTCTCTCTCTCTCTCCCTGAAGACACTCCCTCTCTTTCTTGCTCTTCCTCTCTCCGCAGTCACACTCTGCTTGCTGACTAAGGAAGGTCAAACACTGTGCAGGTACAGGCAAAATGCTGCAGACACTGTCCAAACACGCGCCGGCTGAAAACTGTTACACACAACACTTGTCTCTAAATAACAGGTGTCGTATCTCCATCCTTTTGATTCCTCACAAAAACACAACGCACAAGCACAGGGATGCAAAACTCTCCCTCCAGGAAGTAAAACACTGTCATCTGCCCACTCTTTGGCTATCTGACTCCCGGCTCCTCCTTTCACGCTTTCTCTCTGGTTTGTCCTTTACAGTGTCTTCTTTCTCT